TGATCATTTGAATTATTAACCCGCCAGGGAACAACAATTACTAAGATTCTTTTTGTAATTCTTTGTACAAAGCTAGTGATTTTTTTTCATATTTTTATTATTTAGTTTTTCAATTATGATTGGCTAATTTTTTATTAAGATGAACGATATAATTTAGGTTTAAATTCCAAAGATTTCATGCCACTTTAATATGTGTTAATTATTTTTTATATGTTTAATGAGTTAATTGTTAGATCACCAATTTGTCAATTTAGGGATAATACGGAAACTGAGAGGTAATGTGTGATTCTAGAAATTGAATCATTTTACATATATATAAAGTTAATTCATTTGTTAATACCTATTAAAAAGGGGTTGAATGAATTTGAATTGAATGAATGTTAAATAACCTAAGTGAAATCGAAATTCCTAACCACTTAATCCCGATAGTTTTCTACAAATTATGTTAGTTGGGTAAATTTAGTTTTGATTAATTTAATTTAGTTAAAACATAAACATTTGATTTGTTAAGTTTATATCACATCAATTTAGATTGGAGTTGGAAATTGGAATAAAAATTGAACGATATTCGAACTCAGACATCTACTTTTTTACTTGTCACAATTTGTAAACATGCATAATCAATTGAACATTCATACACATCATATAATTTAAAGATTTTTTTTGAATGATTAGTATGACATGCTTTTTTTTTTTCTTTTTATTTATTGTCATTTTCATTTGTCAATGTCCAATGATAGAAATGAAATTTAGAAACTATAATAATTCATATTTCTTATGATATTTTATTTATTAATGTGTCATATTTTAATGTCTGAAAGATATTAATTTAAAAATAAATCCATTTATTCTAAAAAAGTTCATAAGAAAATATTTAATTTTGTAGATTTTTTATAATGAAAAAATAATATTTAGTCAAATATTATATGTACATTTAATTCATGACAAATATTTTTCTAGTTATGCCGCCGAACAATTAATTTGATGTTAACAACATTTTTCTGTTGACAACCAATAATCATGTCGAAAGCACTCTAAATAATTGCTTATGGGTCGATTTTAGAAATAAGTAAGTTAATTAACTCATCATATAGAGATTGTTTGGTATATATTTTAAACCAATTAAAATCAATTTTTGACCGTTATTTTATTATTTCCGCCATCATTTTTTATTTCTTCTCTCATAGTTACGACCCATTTTATTTCTAACGGTCAAAAAATTAATTATCAAAATTCCTACTGAATAAGCACATAATTTTGAGTAAAAAGGTGATTTCTCACTTATGTTGAGAAATAAAGTTTATTTAAAAGGAAATTTAACGTGCTTTGAATAAATTGCACTTGGACAAACACATTAATCTTAAGTAAATAAAACAAAACAACAGACGGAAAAAGTTGTCCATTGTGAAACACATCGAATCTTTGATTAACCGAAGTGGCCGGACAATCACTCTCCAAAATCTTTTCTGTCTCTTCCTTTGACTCTTTTAGGATTTTTCACGAGTGAAATATATGTCAATAATTCGAAAACTTGGAGGAAAATAAAATAAAATACCTCAGTTAGATTAAAGAAATTAGACACACTTCGTAGAACCTTTAAGGTTCAAGTCACGTCAAAACTTCAAACTTCAAGTCACTGTTTATTGAATGATAATCACAATACAATACGTGTTCCGATATTGAATTCCGTCTCAAAAAAATTAATGTATTAAAAATAGTAGTCAAATTCTCTTTTAAACTCAAGATATTTCAAGTCTAGTCGACAAAAATTTTTGTTCATCTTTTTTCCCGAAGAAGTATCATATCATCTCAGACTCTTCAAGTTATAATCTAATCCGTCCATCCCGCTTCAACTTTGGAGGATCACATGCTTCATTAAGATCTAACTCTTCCACTACGTTACAACCAACAGACAATTGCCTTTAGAGTCAATGGCATTTTTTATTTTTATTTTCGTCATCATGATTAACCCTAACATACACTTTTGTTTAGATATTCTTTGTATAGACATCTTGCGATTCCACATGACTAAGTTTGAAGCATGACTCTAATACCCTTGTAATATGAGATTTCAAGATTGATCTATTAAGAAGCGTACTTAAAGTTTCTCCATGTCTAGTCGATGTCCGGCTTTTTTCAAACCTTTTTCAATATAAAAACGGATTATATCATTTGTACTTGTTGGTTTACATGTTGGTTGACACGGTCCTACCTGATCTCTTACATGGGAGAGGTCGGGGTCCACGCCCAAATGTGTGGGGCTGGACTCCCCATGTGAGAGGAGAGGTGGGCCCGTGTCAACCAACATATAAATCTCAATGTATCCATAGCAAAATCCATATAAAAACATAAAAATATAATTGCAATCTTAGTCCTTGTTGGGCTCCATTTTTTTACTCATTTGTAATCATATATTTTATGAAATTCATAATTTTTATCAACTTTTTTACCACATATCATTAATTTTCATCGAAATCCACTAAAATTTAATTTTTAGCCAAATCGATCAGGACTTTAAAGATGCTGCTTGAAAAATGTCTCTGTCAACACAAAGTTTTAGATAAATAAAAAAATAAGCTGTTAGCATCTACTTTGTAGATTTTGGAAATGCTTATCTTTTGTCGCATGACTTTGGAGAATCCGTTTCTTCGACAATTATCTGTCATGACAAAACAAGGCGATTAGATTTATTTTTATTTTTTTTTATCTAAATTTAAATTTACTTCTTTAAAGCATGTTATTTTACCTTTTTGGACATGGGATTCACATCAAATTTAACTAACATAACTTAATGCGGATATCGAATACAATGTTGAAGATAAGATCCACACGTCATGCTTTTTTCTAATTAATCAATCAAACTTTTAGTCAATGTGTAAATGGTATCACAGATTTGGAAAAGACATGAATTCAAATCTCGCTATCACTAATTTAAGAAAATTGCATATAAATCATTTGATAAGAAAATGAATTCGATCAACACCCGGACGATTTGTCAAATAGAAGATTCAAGTGAATACATGTAGCCCTTCACAAGTTAAACACATAAATGAGATGATGAAAATGGCATATCATACGTCCATAAAATACTGTATAATGATATTCTACACTTATTTTTGTTTAGTTATTCAGTTAAAATTACAAATATGGCATGGTTGTATTGAGTGAGTAGCAGATGATTTTATGAATAGAAGTTGGATTTAAACGTCTTGAATTTGAGTCGATTAATCGTTGATCAAAATGGTGAGACTATAACAAGCAAAACATGTATAGCGCTATTAAGTACTTGTTCGATTAAGTAGGACAATTTCATGGTTAGAGTTGTAAAATTGCCTCTATTAAGCTGGTAGTTGAAGATAAAGAAATTAATCAGTCCATTTAAATTGAGTATTATAGCTTTCTATGTTGTACAATGTAAAAAGATACAAGAAGTCATTTTCGATCGAGTGATAATTTCTATGCCTATACCTTAAAAAATATAATTATGGTCATTGCTATTGTAACCCTTCAAAGGTTAAAAAAACCACAAGTTGATAGTTACGTTTCAAAGTTAATGATATTTTCATTTACCTCTCTCTCTCTCTCTCTCTCTCTCTCTCTCTCAAAATATAATTATGGCCATTGCTATTGTAACCCTTCAAAGGTTAAAAAACTACAAGTTGATAGTTACATTTCAAAGTTAATTATAATTTCATTTACCTCTCTCTCTCTCTCTCTCTCTCTCTCTCTCTCTCTCTCTCTCTCCCCCCCCCTCCCCCCCCTCTTCTTTTTTTCATTAT